CAGACAAGAGATAATCATCATGTCCAATAACCAAGCGGCTATGAATGGTCTGGAGATGCCTAGAAAAACTGAATAAGCTAGGCGAGGAAGATACAGTTACTCTCACTTAGTTCCGGGGACATAACGGGGTAAAGGGTAACGAAATTGTAATTAGTCTTGAAAGGAAAGGGGCTGAAACACCTTTGTGGCAGCAGCAGTAGTAACACAATATTGAGAGATTAAAAAGAATTGGACAGTAGAAGGACAGATAATTAGAACAATCTCTTGGGTCTAAAACAGACTAAGACTGGTAAGTACAATCGGAAAAGATCGGAAGCCTATATCTGCCTCAGCAAGAACAGGCTACGCATTGTATTAGGGATCCTTTATAGCCCAATCGAATTAGGTGAAGAACAGGCTTGAGATTCTGAAAAATTGGAAGCAGCAATTTTCCTTCGGAATTCGTTGGAGGGGGTCTCTGGTAGTCTAAATTCAAAAAGTTGGGATTCCAAAGTTGTCGCTACCTCCGCCATCTTGATTTAAAGGGTTATTTTTTGTATCTTGAATAACTCATTTATTTTCAATTTTACAAGGAAAATAGTTTTTACAAAAGTTATTTAAAATTAAATTTCCTACAATTCTGCTTTTTTTTGTACGATCGATTTTTTCGATTTAAACCCGAAAAGAGGGGGTGAATTTTTGGTTATAGAATAACTCGTTTATTTTCAATTTTACGAGAAAAATTGTTATAAACAAAGTTGTTTAAAATTAAATTTCCTACAATTCTGCTTTTTTTTTGTACGATCGATTTTTTTCGATTTATACCCGAAAAGAGGGGGTGAATTTTTGGTTATAGAATAACTCGTTTATTTTCAATTTTACGAGAAAAATTGTTATAAACAAAGTTGTTTAAAATTAAATTTCCTACAATTCTGTTTTTTTTCTGTACGCTCGATTTTTTGTATTTACCCCTGAGAAGAGTGGGGGGTAAACTCTTATCATTGTATTATCACGTTTCTTTTTAATTCCAGGTATCAGCAAAAAAAAACAAACAGAAAAAATAACGGTACAACATCAATAATAAACGTGACAATACAATACTTAGGTTCACCCCCACTCTTCTCAGGGATAAATACAAAAAAATCGATCGTACAAAAAAAAAACAGAATTTTAGGAAATTTAATTTTAAACAACTTTCTTTATAACAATTTTTCTCGTAAAATTGAAAATAAACGAGTTATTCTATAACCAAAAATTCACCCCCTCTTTTAGGGTATAAATCGAAAAAAATCGATCGTACAAAAAAAAAGCAGAATTGTAGGAAATTTAATTTTAAACAACTTTGTTTATAACAATTTTTCTCGTAAAATTGAAAATAAACGAGTTATTCTATAGCCAAAAATTCACCCCCTCTTTTCGGGTATAAATCGAAAAAAATAGATCGTACAAAAAAAGCAGAATTGTAGGAAATTTAATTTTAAACAACTTTGTTTATAACAATTTTTCTCGTAAAATTGAAAATAAACGAGTTATTCTATAACCAAAAATTCACCCCCTCTTTTCGGGTATAAATCGAAAAAAAATCGATCGTACAAAAAAAAGCAGAATTGTAGGAAATTTAATTTTAAACAACTTTGTTTATAACAATTTTTCTCGTAAAATTGAAAATAAACGAGTTATTCTATAACCAAAAATTCACCCCCTCTTTTCGGGTATAAATCGAAAAAAATCGATCGTACAAAAAAAAGCAGAATTGTAGGAAATTTAATTTTAAACAACTTTGTTTATAACAATTTTTCTCGTAAAATTGAAAATAAACGAGTTATTCTATAACCAAAAATTCACCCCCTCTTTTCGGGTTTAAATCGAAAAAATCGATCGTACAAAAAAAAGCGGAATTGTAGGAAATTTAATTTTAAATAACTTTTGTAAAAACTATTTTCCTTGTAAAATTGAAAATAAATGAGTTATTCAAGATACAAAAAATAACCCTTTAAATCAAGATGGCGGAGGTAGCGACAACTTTGGAATCCCAACTTTTTGAATTTAGACTACCAGAGACCCCCTCCAACGAATTCCGAAGGAAAATTGCTGCTTCCAATTTTTCAGAATCTAAAATACTAATCCGATTGGGCTATTAGGGGTATTGCCGATTCAAAGAACACCTTAGTAAACTGAGAGTATTAGAAGACAAAGAAACTTTCATTCACATTCTGACTGAATGTGTAGCACTTCAGACTCCAAGGGCACTATATCTAGAAGAGGGCGATTTACCTAAATTGAAGCCACTCCAAATCCTACACTTCCTTTGAGGAGATAGGATTGGAAGAAGAGTCGAACATTAGCGACAACAATAGATCTTTTATGCCGGAGTGTATTAATAACCCATTTCCAGCATAACTAAAAGTGAACAAATTATTGAAACATTTACTGTAAAGAATGAATTAGGACTATTATTAATTTGTTTCCTGTCAAAATCATGACTTTTATTTTGTTTTTGTCCTTACTATATGATATTGAACTAAGATAAAATTTAATCGATGTGGTTTGGCGAATGAACTCAGTTCCCGCAGGCAAAAATTCAAATTAAAAAAAAAATTGTTTTTGTGTCCACGGCGAACTAAATTTTGTACTACAATTAAACTATCGTTTATCAGTGCTTTAGAAAATATTTTTATCTATGAAACTATGCAAAATAACATGTTTTTTCAAGAGTCAAAAAATGGAGATGATAAGCAGGCCTTCCCGTCTTAAAACCATATTACCACCTCTAAGAAAATAAAACAAAACACCATGAGGTGAGTGTCTACAATTTCCTTTGGGTTTCGTTGATTACTAAAAGTAGGATAATCCTCTAAAATGTACTTCTGACAAATTTCATTACATACAAAAATGTAATTTTTTTTAAGTAAACTTTTCACGGACAAACGGTACATTTTGGTCTAAGTCTAAGTGAAAACTACAGAAAGTTAGCATTAGGGCGAGCAGGAAACAAATATCAACGTAGCCAGCCGGACACATGGAGATATATCTCGCCGTATGCCTGTTCACATTTCACAGCGCACAAGGCAACGTTAATATTATTCGTTTCCTCCTACTCGCGCTAATGATAACGCTCTGTTATAGTCGCTTCGGCCTGAGTAAAGCGTATTGGAAAGTATTCAATAGCCGATACTGTATATCGCTGTTCCAGAAGAACAATGACGTAACTACATAATTAGGGTAATTGTAGTTAAGTACTTCACTGTTTTCAAAAATGTGTCACATATATGGGAGAACAACGACGTTACTGTAGTTGCTTTAATGGTCGCCAGAGCAAGTTGCGCCGTTGTCGAAATATCAGCTGTTTGTGACACAATTTCAGAAGAACATCGCTACATGATTTAGTTGTGTTTGACGTTATCAAGTATTTGTTAGTGTTCGGTGAAACAACGACGCAATTGTAAAATTTGGCGTAATTTGGACCTTTTTAACTGTAATTCCAGTGAGACAACGACGTAAATGTACTTTTTGTCATTGTTTATTTAGGGTTTCATTTCAATTTTGTATCTTAATTATACTTTTTGCCATTAATTAATAGGATAATGGGCTTTATTTACGTCATAACTGTTCTTAATGTCATTGTTGAGGCAAATTAGATAGTGAGATAGGTAATATTGTCTTTTTAGCCGTCCATACCAATACGTATGGAAGGCTATTAGAATCGTCAAAAGCCGCTAAACCAATATACAGTGACGACGCGTGGGTTTGAATAAATTCATTAAAAATTCAAGGGTTCGTTTTTTGACAAAATGTTCAGATACGTCGGTTTTTATAGTGGCTGTGATTTTCTTAATCATAAATTCATGTATACAGGATGACCCAAAAGGAAGTTACGACTATCAACTTCCTTTTTCAAACGGAAACAATTAGACCGTCAGATAGTGACAGGTGCCTCATTTTCGCATACAAGCCTCAAAGAGAGTTGAAAAGTACATCGATTTTAAGTAGAATGAAAGGAAATTTACGAGTAGCTCCTGGGGATAACACATGGAAAATTCGATTTTCCCTAACAAAAATAAAAGGTTATTTGTGGCCCATATTTCCACCCAAGCCGTTTTCACTATATGATTAATTAGGCTTCGGAAAACTAAAGGCTTTAATGTTGCAAGTGGCTAAAGAGTTGAAATAAGGGCGTAATCTTCTAAGGAAAAATCGAGATTTTGCCCGATTTTTCCACACAAGCCCATCGAATGTATATGAACATGTATCATCACTAGTCTGAAAAACATATTTTCTTGAATTACCTGAATGTATAAGTGCATTTTGGGGTCGGAACATCTTTCTGATAAGGAAAATTGAATTTTCCATGTGTTATCCCCAAGAGCCACTCGTAAATTTTCTTTTATTCTACTCAAAATAGATGTACTTTTCAACCCTCTTCGAGGCTTGTATGCGAAATTGGGGCACCTAAATCGGTCACTATCTGACGGCCTAAATGTATAGGCGGCTAATAAAATGATAACTACCTCGGAGAGCAATTGTCTATAACTATTTTTCCGTTTCCTTTTTGTCCAAATTTGTTACTTTGATTTATAGTTTTAGCAGAACAATGGCGCATTTGCAAAAGAAAGTGATGGTGGGGGTACGGCGTAAATTTTAACAAAAAAATATTTTGAACTTCATCGTGAGCCATATTGTAACCATTTCCCCGAGTCTGAACTCTATACATTAATTATTAACGTTTGAATTATGGAGTTATTAAAAAATAAATTTCAATTTTTTGCGTTTTCTGAACAATTATCATTTTGGCAGTTCTTCTGGAACAGCGATATGAAATGGATCCAATCGACTAATTTTGACGTCTAAAATACGTATAGCAATTTTGGGACATCCTGTATAAGCAAGTTAGGTCTAACCAACCTATTTTTGACTCCAGAATATCTGGTATAATTTTTGACCTACTTTTTTGTTACACCCTGTATTAATAATAGTTTTTTTATAGTTAAGAAAAAACCCAATTTTTTGTGGCCAAAGTCACATGTTGCTTTACAAACTGAACAAACATTTATTGTTGTAGCATGATCTACATCAACTGACTAAAATCAACAATAGTCTCTCACCATCCAAGATGACAAAATATTGAAATAAAAACCGATTTATCTATAAAATTTATTAACGACAACCAGTTAATACGGAGAAGATAACGAAGCACTTAAAATGATAAGCGGTAGTAATTTCACAGTGAACACGAGATTTCAGATTAAAATATTAGAATAGTTTGACAGAATTATTCCCTACGAAAATAATCAAAATTATGGCTGACGATAGTGTTGTTCTCGAGGATTTCGAGACTTTTAAGGAGAATTTTAACCAGGCTCTGCGGGAGGATAATTTGGAGGTATGTAATTCTATAGAAATAATTTACCTCATAAAAATAGGGTTATATCCTGTATCGTGTGACATATATGTGTTGTATCTATTAAGATTTATCAATTTTGTTGTTACTAATGTAGGTTGAATTGTTTGATTTTAATTTAAAAAAAATAAATGAGTACCATTGTACCTACTTTGATAATGATATAACCAAACTAACATCTTATTATTTATTTTTATTGGTGCGTCATGTAGGTATTTACTAATTTGATGACGAATTTTTATACTTCCCATTTCATTGAAAAAATAAATTTACTCGAGAACCTGTTTGTAGAATAATTTATTATGATTTTAAAAGCAATTATTGGAAATATTTAGGGCATGATTTGGCAATGAAACACGAAATGACAGAATTTTTAGAAATGAAGTTTATTTGGTAAAACTTAGGTAATTCCGATGTTTATTAACAGTTCACAAGTAAACGGTGTATACGTAAATTCATTCCCTATAATATACCTATATGGGTATGGGTTTTGTGAATTATAAATATTGTACATATACAGGGTGTTCCGTAATGATGTTCGAATAGTTTAACGGTGTTTACCAAAAAAAATTAGTAATTTTTTCTCAAAAACTGTTAGACATACCTATAAATTGTAATTTTGGCACACGTTATCCTTTACTCGAACCGTATTTTGAGGTTGTCATTTTTGTCAGTTCATATTTCTAAAGGATGAAATGATCAACCTCTCTTTTAATATCTTTCAGAACAATTTCCTTTAAAATCCAATTATAATGAGTACTACAGGTCATTAAGAAACTTTTTTCACTCTTGTAATTACTGAGGCCCTTCCTATGAGGCCTCAGTATTGCATTCTTTAAAAGTTTTTTCACGTTTCCGAACATTCTGAGACCGAAAATGCAAAAAAAAATTCGTCTGGTCGTCTGTGTGTACGTATGCCGGCACGATAACTCTAGAACGAAAGTTCTGATTGACTTGCAGTTTTGATTTTCTTGAATAATTATTTCTAACTTAGAACCCTATTGATTTTCAGAATTTTCGGTTCATCCTAACTACTTTAATATCAATTTTCTTAAAATCAGCCTATGTATTTCTCATGTGACTAATTTAACAAATTCCAAGCATTCCTAAAGTCTAAAATTCCTTACATTCTTAACATTTCATACATTGCATTCTCCAATGACCTGTCAAACAACAGCTGTTGATTCTAGAGGTGAGATTTCAAAGGCATTTTGGAGGCTATTTTTATTCGAAATTAGTCGTCAAGCCTGCCAATTTATGAAAAATATATAAGCAGTTTCTGAAAAATGACTTTTTTATGGTGATGCTAACTTAAGCTTACTACTATTTTGCCCTTAGCCACAAAAACACAATCATCAAATTTACTGACTCTCTGTCGCAACTCCACAGAATAATTAATCGGCCATTTTATTTGGCAAAATCAGAATAATGCTTGGCTGTGCCTGTCAAGTATCAAGATGTCAACTATGATGTGTGAATGGCTCTTAAATGTCAAATTATTTAAAAATGTTTGTATGCTTCTTTTGATATTTATTGCAAATAATTTGTAGTGTTTCTCAATTCAAGCTTTCCATAAATAAAGGTACAGCAAAACAGATAATATAATGTTCTTACACAAAGCACTTTTTTATTATATAAAAGAGAGGTAGGATAAATATATATAGAAATATTAATTTAAACATAGTAGGTAGTATTAATATAACATCAACTAATTTTTTAAAATGAAGTACATGATCTCAAAACAGAAATAATTTATAATAAATGCGGGTAAAACGAGGGGTAAAATAACAACAAATTAAGGCAAATATTTAAAACGGGCAAGTTTAAAGGGTATTATCACAAAAAGTATATCCGTTCTGTTTATTGTTACTTATGAATACATTTATTTTTTTTTAATTTCTGTAGGCAGTCATTACATTTTTGCAAACCTTTAATAAAAATAATTGTATTTTGGGAACTTTTAGTGATGGCTTGCCGTAGATGAAAGTCAGATTGGCTTCTTGTATTATAGTTGTAATATTGCGAATTATATTGAATTTTTTCTATAATATCTGATGCAATGGTACTATTTTATTTTTATTTTATAAATAAATATTAGTCATGTACTGAACATAATTGTGAACTGAAACCAAATTTATTTCTTTTAACATAGTTGCAATACTCATCCTTCTGTCCTTTATTAATATTATATAAATAAGCGAAGTAAGGAGCCCAAATATTTTACATGAGCAGGCTTAAGAGGTAAAGGGGCCAATTATTATTGGATAAATTGCTCGAACAAGTTTGTAAACCCTAATCAAAAGGCGATATAGAATGGTTTTAAAAATCAAAGCTTGTGAAAATTATCACATGGTTTAGCCTAAGTAATGCCAATGCTTCACAAACCAAAAAATTCAACGTCCTAATACTACTATCGGCTTTCGGTCTTTCGTTCCAAGTTAAATCATTTCTCGTTAATTTTACGAGTTTACCATTATGGGCCTCAGTCCCGATAAGATGGGAACCACCATTTTAGCGTATCTCGAATTTTTTCTTATATTCAACAGTTTACATAAAATATTAAAACAATTTATCTTACCGTTTTAATACAAAAGAACCCGTTTAAAAAGAGCCTACATAGCAAAAGTGTATAAGATAACACCCCTTAAATTTTAGAATATTTTGTTTAAATATTGGAACATCATAACGGTACACCCTGCATAAAATCTTAAAAGTTTTTAAAAAAAGTTTTGGTTGAAAATTATGTACAATTTTTTTATTTGAAAATTGTAATTTAATATAGAGAAAGCTCAAATCGAAATCCGAAATACATTATAACTGAACAATAAGTGGTTGAAATAATTTGAAAATTCGAAAACAAATCTCAAAAATCGCGCTCCGAATGATTAAGACCATCCCCGAACCCCAAAGGTGAAAATATATACTTGGAGGTTTGAAAAAAAGCCTGTCGTTGCTCGGATTCGAACCCAGACATCTTTGTTCTGTAAACAAATGCTCTAACTTTATACCAGAGGTTCCTAAACTCTTTTGTTTCATAGACCACTTTAAAAATTTTGCTACATCACTACCAATTTCTAAATCTCGAAAAAAAAAAAGTGAAGAATAGATCTATCTATGGAAACTTGCGTTGTGGCTGAGTTTTAACGGCGAAAAAAAGGTTAGAAATGATTTCTTGATAGGGTTAATTATTTGATAATAAAGTCGACTAAACAAATTTTCAATTAATTTTTAATTGATTGTGCTGTGAGTGGATGTCAAAAAAGCAAAGTTGGCCAACGAAAAAGTGACTCCATCCAACTTTACTTTTTTGAAATCTACAGTGACTCACAGCACAAGAACCAATCAATTCTCACAAATTTTAATTAGAAAACGTCCCATTCGGAGTGGTAAAAAGAAATATAGTATATTTCCTTCTGTTGTACGAGCCCTAACAACTATATGTTGGAACAAATAGTTATTTTACGAATAAAATGCCAATTTGCCGAAATTTTTTTATTCTATTTTTTTTTTAATGTAAATATAAAATTAACAATATTTTTTATGATGTATGGAATTATTTTTACAGTTTAATTATATATTTTATGTTGATAACTATTTAATTACTTGTTTGACAATCGAAAAATGCTGACAACTAAATATTGGAACAAGTGCTTTTTAACTAATTAAAATAAAAATTAATAAGGCGAAACGTCGCCCTTAGCTCGAATAACAGCCTGAACTCTATTAGGCATTGTACCAACCAGGTCTTCACAGAATTCAGGGGTGAAACTATCCCATATTTCTTGCTGTGGTAAAGTACGCTGAGGATTATTTCTTAAGCGTTGTTTCATTTTGTGCCAAAGTGTCTCAATTGGATTAAGAACTGGGCTGCTAGAGGAATGTGACAAAACTTTAATGTCATGTTCTCCCATCCATTTTTTAGTAGATTTAGCCGTATGGCATGAGGCTCCGTCCTGTTGAAAGATAAAATCTCTGGATGGATATAACTTTGCTGCACTTGGTAAAAGCGAATGTTCAAGGATATCTTGATATTTGGCTGCGTTTACTATACCTTCAATAAAGTGTAAAGTTCCCAACCCTTTGGCCGACATACAATCCCACACCATGATGCCCTGCGGAAACTTTACAGTCCTCTTAAGACAATCTTTATGGAATGCTTCTGTTTTTTCTCGAATCACACGCTTTCGGTAATCTCCCACACAGATATCAAATTTACTTTCGTCGCTATAGATTACTTGATCCCCGTTATGTTTGGTCCACGAAAGTTTTGATTTGGCCCAAATGTAACGATTCCTCTTTTGAGTTTCCGTCAACAATGGTTTTTCTTTGGCCTATTCGAATAATTTAAAAATTAGAAAATTTATACCGCAAAGAAGAACCTATTAAACATACCTTATAAAAACTATGACCGCTCTTGTAGATATATTTGCGACAGCATTCTCTTGAAACATTCATCCCCGTTTCTCTATTCCACCTTGCGGTTACTTCTCGTAGTGTATTTCTTCTTCCCGACTTACATATTGTAATTAAATGCCTTACACTTCTTTGAGAAACAGCTTTTGGACGGCCTGAGCTTTTACCCCGAACATCAATACTGGCAGTTTCACCATATTTCTTAATTATATTAAACACAGTAGTTGTTGCTATATTCAATTCACTGAACATTTCACGCATTGTTTTACCTTTATGGTATTGATGAATAATAATTTCTCGCACTTTTGAATCAGTAGGTTTTCCACGTACCATTATTGTATTTTACTCTTAATAAAACTGACAGTTATTAATTATTAATACTCAAATGACGCGTGACAATTATTGTTGATAACACACTACTTAGGTACTCCTATGTTTCATTTCAAAGCCTCCTTCGCGTTAGGATGATAAAACTCAAGAAACCTAAGGCAAAGCTAAATATGTTCCAATATTTAGTTGTCAGCATTTTTTGATTGTCAAACAAGTAAATAAATAGTAATCAACAAAAAATATATAATTAAACCATAAAAATATTTCCATACACCATAAAAAATGTTAGTTTCATATTTAAAATTTAAAAAAAAATTAGATTAAAAGAATTTCGTTAAATTGGCATTTTATTCGCAATATAACTGCTTGTTCTAACATATAGTTGTTAGGGCTCGTAGGTATTTATTTAAATTTAAATATATAAATTATTGCACTATTAATTATTATTGTTATAACCGTCGTAATATAATTAAAATTAAACACTTATAACGTAATGTAATTTCTACAATGGTAATTACAAAAAAAAATATAATTTTAATGAGAGGGATGTACTTGATGGATTGACAGCAAATTATCAATATTTGGCTTGAGTTTTGTAAGGAATAACCATAAATTTCCCCTTTCTGTGATATTCAATCTGCTCCTTTTTTTTGTTAATAAGTTTGCACAATTCCCCACAGTCCAGGATATTTTCTGGTATTTCTGCCTGCAGCCAAAATTTTTGATACCCTCTTTAAATGTCACTTTCAGCTCCTCATTAGTGCTAAACTCGAGTAGCTCCTCTTGTAATATCACATTCTCCACTTCCGTTTCATCAAATGGATTTATGATCCATGGTGGTATTTCGATCGATAAAATATCTTCAAATCTGAATTTAAAATCATCATGCAGGTCAATCAAATGTTGAACGTATGTCTGAATATCTTCATCAAGGCATTCTACCTGCGACAAGTTTGAAAACTGTGAAAATTCGCGCCGACCAATATTTTCCTTCATAAATTTCAATTTACCAAGAAAAACTGAAATTACACTCTTTGTTTTTATTAAATTGAGGCTGTCCCCTTGTAATTGCAAGTTGAGGTCATTAAACAAATCTGTCAAATACGCGATGTCTGCTTTAAGTTTCTTTTTTAAATCAGGATCTTTACTTTCCAAAAACTCTAAAACTGAGTCAAAAATTAAATAAAATCTTGATAAACATGCACCTTTCGACAACCAGCGTACTTCGGTATGTAACAGCAATCGTTGGAAGTCTTCATCATTTTCATCGCACAATTGTACAAATAAACGCGTATTCAATGCATTGCTTTTTATTTTGTTAACTGCATTAATCACAAATTGAAGCGATGGGTGCAATCTATCACTCAAATTTTTCGCTACTAGATGTTGTCGGTGGATAACACAGTGAATCGCAATTACCTCTGGTATAATTATTTTAAGATGGCTTATAAACCCACGATATCTTCAAAGTTTTCGCGAATAGTAGCTCTTCATGAATTTCTTCGCACATAACAAAACGAACATATGCCAATAATAATGCTTCATTGCCAGGTAAAGTTGACTCGTCCAGTTGAATAGAAAAATGAGTTGTTTGTAGATAATCACAAAATAAACTTTCAACATCAGAGCTCATTTCATCAAGACGTCTTTGTACAGTGTTGTTACTCAAAAGGATTCTTTTGAGTATGTCAAATGAAGATTTGTGCAGAACAGTTTTTAAAACCTCTTCAACAGCAGGTAAAATTAACTGTTCTCCAATGGTGTGCGGTTTTCCAGATATTGCGATAAGTAATGAGATATTGTAAGATGCCCGCAAGCCATCATCGTTGCTTTCAGACGTTGAAGAGAACATACTGTGCACGGTGGGTCTCTTTTCATATTTTTCCTTTAATGTTTGGAAATATTTCAAATCTTTACCCATTTTATCAGGATGACACCTTCTGAAATAATCTTCCAGCTTTGATGGTTTCATAGAGTCATTGCTCAAAACTTTGTTGCATAAAAGGTATGTGGGCAACGTTTGTCTGCCTTTGATGGAAGAAAACCAAATTCAAAATATTCAACGCTGTACTGACGACACTTCTTCTTAGATTCGGCCATGTTTTGTATCAATTACCTACCTGTAAATGAGTAAGTAAATAAAAAAAAAACTGTATCGATTCACTTTTCTTTATGAAATTCCAGAAACAAATGAGTAACGATTATCCTTGACATTCATATTTATATTGGTGAAGAATCAAACATATTCATGCAAGATTGCAAGCACATACACTACAAGTCGTATTAATTTGCACGTCTGAACAAGCGTTGCGGACGGGACGGCGGCCGGCGCGGCAACGACAAGTCTCGACGCGTTGTACTGAATATGGAATATGCAAGTTTTTACAAGTAACAGTCGCTGAGCTTCTTAAAATATTATCTGCCTATATTGATAAGAGAAGTCAAGTCAACATTTTAGTAACTAAAATGTTGACTGTTTATATTATAAACAGTTTTTTACAAGAATTTCTTCATCACATGAAAAAATGAGTAATCAATTGTTTAATAGTATATTGCTTCACTATCGAAACCAAATTAATTTTCATGCACCCCCGCTTACGATTGTGGACCCCCATTTTTTATTACGCCCAACGTAGACCCCCGTCGAATCTCCCGTGGACCCCTTGGGAAATACTGCTTTAGACCATCACGACATTGACTGTCGAGATTCCTAGACGGCAGTTTGATGTAATTCGGATCAAGATTTGAGAACAAGCCATATTTTCCTGGCTTTTCTGTTTCTGTAGTTAAATCGCGAATTTCTTTTAGGTAGTTATTGCCAATAGTTCTTTTAATTCCTATCGTGTGGATTCAAGCGACCTGTTCTACTTCTATTCTATTGTTTACAATGGAAAGTTATGTTTTTCTTGTTGATTAAGGTTGGACTAGATTGTTTTTTTAGTTCACTCAATGTCCATATTACTGGAGAATTATCAGATTAAGATCAAATAATTCCTCCATTTATATATAATTAGCTGTTAAAGTAGTAAGAAAGAGTAATGAAGACGTAAAACAAATCTGGTATTTTATTATGATTATTCCGGTAGAGTGATATTTATTTAAGATGGGAAAAACAACAACGGTTGCCAAAATATCCTCGAGATGATGGAACAAAACATTTGCCGTAATACAGCATATGAATTACGTATCTAGTGTTTATAGGATCAATGTATACAGTAAATCAATAGGATTGAGTTTTGATTTTCACAAGTAGCCGTTTTTGTATGACTTTTTCTTTTTGTTTCGTCATAGTACCTACTATTTTTGCTTGTTTTAGGTACAACTAGATATGACAAAAAAGCTAGGTATCCTAGCCGAACATATAGGCGAAAAACTAATCAGAAACGAACTCCTTCCGTTTATTAAAGAAAACATGGATTTTCACAACGAGATATTATTCAATCTATCAGGTCAACTGAAAGAGTTCATACCACTCGTAGGAGGCTATGAGAAAGCACAGCCTGTCCTAGAACTCTTTAAGAATCTCTGCAATGCTGATGAAACTCTGGTTCGAGAAAAGACAGTTGAAACGCTGAAAAGTATAGCTGAGGATCTCAATAGTGAACTTACTGAACAGTTGTTAGTACCCTTACTAGAAGGATTGGCGAATGAAGATTGGTTTACCAGTAAATGTTCGGCTGTTGCTCTTTTTCCAGTAAGAAAAGCTTTTTTATCACTAATTTCTTTGTGTGCTTTGCTGTAGCAGCAGATTTACTATAACTTTGGCAAAAGTAAACAAATTGGAATCCAGTATCCAAATAAAATTGAAACAGTGACATAGGCCTGAATTAAAAACCAATATTGCTTAACATGTAATACATAAGAGAGTGATTCAATTTATAAACATTGATATAATATTATAATCATTCAGCGTCCAAAAATTTTTTTTTATTTTAGATAATTTACCCTAAAGTTAAAGAAGAAAGAAAAGAAGAACTCCGCCATAATTTTCGATTACTGTCGCAAGATGACTCCCCTATCGTAAGGAAAACAGCAGCGATTTGCCTCATCGACCTAATTCCAATGATGGACATAGACAGTTTAAAAAACGAATTTATTTCTGTCTTCGATAACATTTCTAATGATAATACGGTAAGCTTAATCTTCATGAAAGAAAAATATGAGTAGATAAATAGGGTCTTTCATATTATTATAGGATTCTGTTCAAGTCCATTCAATAAATATTGCAATTGCCTTGTGCAAGAGACTAATAGAACCAGAAATTGAAGCATTTATCTTTAAAACGTTGGAAAATTTTGCAGGTAAGGAACTATTTAATTTAATACTTTTTTATGTATTAAGATAATTTAAAAAAAATTCTAAATCATCAAAATAGTCTGATGAGTAATATATTATAGGTTTACTACAAAGAAACTAAAATTCTTAATATTGGTTTAAAGTTAAAGAGAAACCTATTGATTTTGAAAAATCTGAATAAAAATTGTGATTTAAGGGAGGTTGAAATATTAAAAATAATCTTAACCCAAAAACGAAAAATGATATCAAGTTGAATCTTGATATTTTTAGCAAAAAAAAGCCTTCTAAGGGGACAAGGCCTATTGATTTTAAAAAATATCTGATTGAAAAAGGGGATTAAGGGAAAATGAATTTAAAAAAAAAATCGTAAATAAAAAACGAAAAACTATATCAACTTGAAATTTTAAACAAAAATTAAGTTCTAGAAGCCCTTTGATTAAAAAAAAATTGATGAAAAATGGTGGAATTAAGGTGGATCAAATTTAAAAAAAAAATAAATCAAATATGAAAAGTTATATTAACGTAAAATATTAATCAAGCTCTATAAAGGGAAGAAGTCCTTTGATTTTGAAAAAATCTGATTAAAAATGGGGGGTTTAAGGGGGATTTAAGGGAGTTTGAAACTAAAATAATTAATAAATAAAAAATTAAAAAAGATATTAACTTTTTTTAGCGAAAATCAATCCCTATAAAGGAACAAAACCTATTTATTTTTAAAAAAATCTGATTAAAAATGGTGGGGTTAAGGGTGGTTGGAACTAAAACAAAATCGTATTTTAAAAAGGAAAAGTGATATCAACATGAAATTTTTAGTAAAAATTAAGCTTTATAAGAAGATTGATTCTGGGAAAAATCTGAATTAAACTGGGGGTTGAGGGGGTTGAAATATTAAAAAAAATCCTCACTCAAAACCGAACATGAAATTTTTGATTCTGAAAAAACAAACTAAATAAAAATGAGTGGATAAGGGGATTGAATTATTAAACAAAATTCTAACTCAAAAACAAAAAATAATATCAAATTGAAATCTTTAGGTAAAATCCAGCTTTATAAGGGATGAAGTTTATTGATTCTGAAAAAAATCTGATTAAAAATGGAGTTTCAAAGGGTTTGTTAAACTATGAAGAGTATTATAGAATGCCAAGTAATATACAGGGTGTTTCCGAACTTGGCGTCCAAATTTGTAGGGGTGGTAGTTCGCATAATTTGAGAGCGATTGGCAGATTTCATTTTTCTAAAACAATTATAATAAACAAAATAGAGCCATTATAAAAAAAATCAAGAAGCGGGTCCTACCCTGAGCACGTAGCGCAATAGTTGCCTGATCGATTACTCATCGAGATTTACACCTCAAAAACATGCGATTTGCAAATTTCTCCCTCCGCCCGGCCGGTATCAAAAGACGTAGCCGATTGTTTTTCTAGTGCGTATTGCTCGAGGCGAACCATCGCTGTGCAGGACCGTACCTGTTTAAAATTTTTAAATAATTTTTAATTATTTTTATTTTAAATATTTTGGAAAAATGAAATCTGCCAATCGCTCTCAAATTATGCGAACTACCACTACCTACAAATTTGGACGCCAAGTTCGGAAACACCCTGTATATCTTCATTCAGTTACTATTTGTTTTTGCGGTTTTTAGTAAAGTTTTAACTAGGGATCCTGTTGTTTATTTGTGTTATAAATCGAGGAAGACACAAAGAATTGGTTTTGTTTGTATTTCAATTATTTTTAAACGGTCTTGCTATCGGTCTTCAACTCTATGGATTAGATACATACTACACTATATTTTTTATGTTACACTGTTGTCGTATGCTTTTGTTTGTTTGTATTGTTACACAGGTTTTTGGTATCGCAATTTATTTAAATTCAACTTTACAATAATTCAATTCAACTTTAACAATAACTATCCAACTGATAACATTAACGTATAACGTCTATCATAAAACTAAAACTGACGTCAGGATCATCCTTATATAGCTTGCTTGACCCTTCTCGAACTGTCATCTAGAATATTCTTAACGGGTAATGATACTTCCAGACATTCCACTTCTTTTTCTATCTGTACGTTTCCTATAATAGCCGCAGGCTACTACAGGGTGCTGCGTAACAGTATTATTTTGACCACTACTCCTACATCTTTAACATTTATTATTTTTCCGATCCATTCTGTTTTTCTTTTTCATCATTCAAACTTACATACCATCTTCCTTTCTATCGTTGTTCATGCGTTCATTCTTTTATCAATATTTGACTTACTGTAAGAATTAATCAAACAATTTAGTCTTTAGATATTTATTTTGATCTTTAAAATATAATTTAATTTATTGAATACCGCAAATAATACTTATTCTATATTTTTCTCTAGCAAGTTCGTCCTGGAAGATTCGCCAAGTCCTAGCACTAAACATAGCAGAAATTCAGGAAGTCATACCATTTCCAAAATTCCGAGGCAGGATACTAGCGATGTTTCAAACACTAGTTAAAGATACGGAAGAAGAGGTCAGAATATTAATCGCCAATAATTTTGTTAAATATTGTCGAAGCCTAAAAGCATCGTATGACCAACCAAATGTGGAGAATAACTTTGAGGCTGTGTTCGTTCAAAGTATTCTACCACAAATAACCCTGGTAGTGATAGATCCAAGCTTAGAGGTCAAACTAGCATTAACGAAGAACATTTTAAGTCTTAGTAGGGTTATCAGCAAAGAATTGTTCATGGAGCACATAATGCCTATCGTTTTAGATGTTCTTGAAGAAGAACGTTTCGTACCAGTAAAAGCAGGCATTCTAGAAAACTTAAATGATCTACCACAAGATATAGATTTCGCAAAATCTTTACCATCCATCAAAAAAGTAATAAGGACTTTAATAGTTTACTCTCAATCGCACTGGCGGACTAGAAAAGGATTGCTTGTAACTTTTATGCATATATCAAGGTTCGCTAGTAAAGAATATTTTTCTGAAAATTTAAAAATCTTTTATGCGAGCTTATTGGGCGACCCTGTATTTGCTGTTCGAAGAACGGCACCTATTATCCTTCCACTACTAGCTAAAAGGTATAGCATTGCATGGACAGCAAGGCATATCATACCCTATTTCAAAATGTTCACGAAAGATAGTCGATACTTGTACAGGTATGTGCCACTGTTTGGAATCAACGAACTTATTAATCCTTCCATTATTCAACAGAATGATATACATTATTTAAATAATTTAAAAGAAAATACAGACACTAGCACGCCCAAACTGCTTTTTAAACTCAAATGCTTATTGAGCAAACTATCAAGTAAACTTGAAGAAAAAACTTTTAAAGATATACTTTCTTTAAACAACAGCATAGATGATTTTAAAACTGATAATATTTCACTTTATGCAGGAGATACTGTTACTTCCCTAACACAATACAATCAAGATATCTTTGATTACAATACAGAAAAACCCAATGAATGGTATATGACAGGATTGATTTCTTTAATTTACAGAGACTTCTTAGAGCTAATTCTGTATCTATTTTATGATAAAATCGTTAACGTTCAAATAAGATCTATATTTACCCTAAACAAAATCAAAATGTTCACTGACAAACTTGCTAAAGAATTAGAACAACCCTGGACGGAAGAATGTTTAAAATTATTAACAAAAGAAGAAACTGATACTATTGAACAAGAAGTTGAAGTAGAACTAAAAAAAGAAATCGAACTAGATGAAGACAAAATTGACACTGATTTAATGGAAAACATTCTTACAGCTAGTGAAAGTAATTCAAATCTAACAGAAATTGCTGATACGAAACTGAGCCTTCCTGTAATAAACATTGAATATGTCGATGAATCCCCCGATTCTAAAATTGAAATAATCGAAGTTGATACATCTGATCCAAAAATGGACGTTTCAGTGGCAGAAGATTCACCAATAACAAAGAATACAGACAATCCAGAAGTTATATGTAAGAAAGATTCTCATGCTATTCAATCAATCGATGAAATACGACAAGTGGATGAGTCAAATAGTGAAAAGTATGAAGTTTCAGAATCAAAAACAGATATTGAACAAGTGGCTTCAAATAATGAAAAACCGCAAGAAGTTGAAAATATTATTGAGAAAGCAGTTGTAACTATTGAAAAGGAGACTAAAAATACAGAAGTTGATAAATCCGATGCAAATAATCAGACAATTGGGACTGATGATGATGTTAAATGAAAAAACATTGCAACGATTTAAAAGTTGTTAGCAATAATTTTATTACCTCCAGTATTTATTAAGATAGATCGATTTAAGGAAAAGTAAACATAATATTTTGGTTTTTAGCCACCAAATATATTGTATTTTTTTAATATACATTTTAATAATATATTTTAAAAATGTTTTATTTAATATGACCCAAAATATTGGAATTTTAAATGGAAAAAAGAAACACATTAGGCATGTGTTTCTTTCTATTGATACTTATATACGCCACCTGTATCTGTAACGTGTGGAGGGTGAGTTAACCCACGGCACTTAGGCCTGACTAGGTCCATTGTGCATCGTCCTAAGTAGATAGGCACATACTAGCTCGTGAGCCAGCCTAAAAATTTAATGTAATTAACAACATCGCCAAAAGGTTCAGGTTTCAATTATACAGGGTGTAACTAAATAAGTGTAAAACATTTAAGGGGGTGATTCCTCATCGAAAAAAAGATAGGATCTTTCATATAAAGAAACTTCATTGGAGCATCCCTTGTTAAGATACAGCCCCTTAAAGGGGGTACATAATAGTACATTATATACCTAGGGTGAGAAGTGAGCTATTATTTACCGAGCACTTTTATATCCTGAGGCGCGTAGCGCCGAGGGATATAATGTGCGAGGTAAATAATAGCTTTCTCAGCCGAGGTATATATAGAATTTTTTTTACTACTAACATTAATGTATTAGCAATTTTAATTTTGACATAAGTAATTTCCTAACAATTTGTTAAATATTTCGAAATATCAAGCAGACTGGAGCGTGTTTCTAATCAGACTGGCTTTATTTATGTAAAAATTTGGCATGTGTCAAATTTTGGTATGATTCTAGGAAATATCCCATTGCATTTTTGATATTTTAATGACATGGATTTATTGTTATTAATTAATAATTTTTAAAGCCGGTGTTGAATTTCCTAGTTAATATATATTTTTACTATTAACACTGATATATATTATCATATTTGATTTGATTAGATTTTAATAAACCCAGCTTTAGTTATTTCCTACTTATTTTTCAAATATTTCAAAATATCAAGTAGTCTGGGAGTTTAGTTGTCAAATTAACAAAATGAAACTAATGAAATTTAGTTTCATTATTTACCTAGGTTTTTTTTTATTATCATTATTTACCTAGGGAGAGAAATATTACTTCTCATTAGAGGAATGGAGTAAATAATGGTGATTTCTCATGTTAGTAGTAAAAAAAATTTGTTTAACAATTTTTTTCACATGCACTAAACAAGTTACAATATTGAAATTAACCTGTCATCAAGGAAATTAAAATTACTTAAAATAGAATACAAAAGAGCAGGTTATGGTTGCAAAATCCAAGTTAAATCCGTTGATTTGGTGAAATAATAATCCATGATAAAATATTTATTAAAAAATATAGACCGTCGCCTGCGAGCCGTGACAGGTAACTTAAAAGAATGTTACTTCTTGTCATTATTTTGTTATTTGTTCGGTGTCTTTTCGTACAAACCTCGTATTTTTCCATTCTTAACGAATTCATATATAATATTAAGCCAATTTTTATTAAAAAAAAATAAACAAAAAATAAATACAATTCATTTGAGAATAATCTAAAATGACTCGTTAGTTTTGAAGTATAATAAAATTTTAGAATAATTTTGAGTCGTCGAGGATTTAAATTAACCGAAAACTTTACAGCATACCGCACAATTTATCAAAACTTAAAATAGTTTTGCACTTGGTGCCAGAATATATATACATGACAAAAGGTTAACAACCCACACTTATAATATATGATTGTTATCAATAAAAATTATATAAATAAGTTGTTGCTATAACGCCTAAAAAATATAAAGTTTTTTGTTACTAAAATAATAGTGCAATATGAGTAGATATGATGACCATATTGCCCAAAGACGAAGTTTGAGCACGCCGTCATGGGCGGAGTACTCATTCATGAGATATGGACGACCCCCTCAAGTTTGCCAATGGATGATCTCTTTGAATTTATCTTAAAATCAATATTTAAATAAGCTTTACTTCGAGAATGTAACACTTTCTTTGAAACTGACACAAATACCAATTAATCTAACGATAAATTAAAAAAATTTATTTACAGTTTCACAATATTAAACCGTCTTTGACTACATTTAAATGTTGACGTTTTATGTTCTATTTACGAATCGGAGATTGAGATAAACTCTATTTTTAATTTTGGCACAGATTTTTAATAAAAAATGTAAATCAGCTTGCAGCTTAACCCACCTTAACCTATTTAGAAATGACTGTGTTGTATAAAAATGTCATCTAAGTTCAAAATTATACTGACCGATTTAGAATGTTACTTTTACTTTTTTTTTATTTCGGCCATGAGTTTTCTTGGATCCTGATTTGTCCGAGAAAAACAACAAATAAGAAAGCACATAATTTAATAAAAAAATATTTATTAACAATACTTTTGAAAACGCGCTTTTTGAGTATAGTCCATTTCATTGAAGAATAATACAGATACTTTATACAGGGTACTCCTTAATGATATGCTAATATTTAAGGGTAGTTTGCTTTATAAACTATGGTCGACAAATGTCCCGTTATGAAAATACGGGGTGCTAAAGTTTTTTTTAAAAAAAAAGGAAAATTAATTAATATTTTCGTAACCGCTTAAGATATTTCATATTTAATATTCAGTAACAGTTAATAATGATTCATATTTTTCAGTACAAAAATAATGTTTAGCTTTAACAGTGACGTGCGTACGGGCACTAGCCTCAATATTTTTAAACAAAAATGCACGCCAATGGATGTTTCCCAAATAAAAATTATTTTTAAGTTTTCCATTAAATTTTTAACTTAAAGGATCAGTTGATTTGTTTTCCTATATTGGTCCGTTTTTGAGTAAAAAAATAAAAACTGTTGTATTGTCCGAGAAAATTGAAAATTGAAGAATGAAAGAACAAAAATTATATTTGGACTATAGTTTATAAAACAAAATATCATTAATTTTTCAGTTGATATATCAAAAAGTTACACCCTTAATGACTACATCGTAATATTTGGAGGTTTAAATAATTTTAAGACAAAACATATCCCAAGTTTCGAATATTACATGATATTGTAAAATTGTGGACACATACTAATTTAATTTTTTTCTCAATCCCAGAAAACAGTGCTTCTAACAAAAGAAATGGTTGCATCAATAAATTTAACAGAAAATTTGAAGATATGATAAAACTTGACAAGTATCTATTCTGAAGGAAAAGTAAGGCTATTAAAAATTTAAAATACCCAAGGTAAAATATTGTTAAATAAAATTCAAATAATAGATAAAATGGTAAATTAAATTAAATTCGTTAGAGTTAGCAACTGTACTTTTATTAAAACTATCAATTATTATCAGTGCATTAATGTGAACTCAAATGAAAATAATGAAAGCCAAAATTCTATTTTGGAGAACAGTAATCCGCGCGGGCATCAATAAAAATGTAAGCGAAGATGATGGAAGCCACAATTCTTCTTTTTTAAACAACAGTCATCAAATACGAAAATTAGTCTAATATTATTGAATATATACATTGGAAATAAAACTGAGGAAATTGAAGTGTTTTTAGGTAGTTTTGGTTTTCCTCTCTTTCATCTAAGGTTTTCTGAATTTGTGTTAATCACAGATCATTGGTTAAATTGTCCTGAACCTATGTTTATTTCTAAGTACGTGTTAATATCATTATTTTCCATTTTAATTCCAGTCTCTAATGGAATTAACAAATGCTACACATTTCACCAGTATACCATATTGAGAACCTATCTATTTCTTGCTGAGGAGTCCTAATAAGGACGAAACCGGTCCAAGAATGATGTTCTCCTTGGTGAGCAAAATCAAAGTAGAGAGTGTTGAAAATTAATTTCTATCTCTGCTGTCTTTCCTTCGGATGTAATTCAATGCCTGTTGCGGTATTAGCCAAAGGAGTAGTTGTTTTTTGAAGGGGAGACGGTCGTTGTATTTTATGTGATATTGGCTTTGAGCTAAATTCATTTTATTTCATTTTACGTACATTTGAGTTTTGATTTATTTTCGTCTACAGATTAAAAAATATCCCTTATTAAGAAAACGAATATTTAGTTCGGCTGCTTATAGTAAGTTCTCCCAGATTTGTGATGTGGATTGGTCACATGTATTATTAGAACATGATCCCCTTGAACATTTTTATAACTCTTTACTCGGGAAATTCAATGAAGCATTTCGTTAGAAGGGTAGAGCATAAAAAAACAAAATATTGTATCAGGATCACCAATGATTTGCAGATTTCGCAGCTAGTAATTTAAGATGCTTAGACCGAGTTAATAGAATTGCTCATGATAATTTATCATTTATGTTAACAAATACAAAATAATTTATCGTAAAACAATTAAAGCTATAAAAAACTTGCATTATGAAAAAAGGTTATCCCTAGTGAAGTTTTAAGAATTTTCATTTCCATTATAGATACTTTAGAACTGACCCTTTATCTGCTATTTACGTAGGTAGTATCGGATAGTATTACTATGATATAAACAATAAACGTTCATTCGTGAAGACACAATATGCTTCACGTTTCCATTTTTATATTTTCTTTCATAAAAAAATCAAATTATGGGTGAATTGTCCCGAAGGACAATGCCTGCAAAAGGAATAGAAGAAGAATAAGAAAAATAACTAATCAAATTATAGGTTAGGTATGTCAAATTATCCCGCCATAATTTGTCCAAATCGACCAGCAGTGTTGCACTTCCGGTCTCCTTAGTGGAACGGACTTTTAGCATGTCAAATATAGCCTATATCCTATCCAGTAAAATAATACAGATCAGTGCAATAACCCCTTACAATCAATTATCATGAATGAACAGAATGTCTTAATTCATTTGATATAAAAGCTCATGGTCCAGAGCGTAAACTGTAAAGTGTTCAACTTCATCAATTTTAAATTTCGTAACGCGGGTCAATCGTCCATAAAAGCAATTTTTTTAATTGGTTTTATTTTGGTAAAATGTGTTAATTTATTTTAAATTTATTTTATTCATCATAATATTTATTATCCCAGTTAGACAATTTGTTAATCTTTTCGCTATTTATTTTTTGTAAAAAAATTGTAAGTAGATAGGTAGGTAAATAATTATCTTTTTTATTAAAAAAAAATTTCTGTTCATAGTTATTTATCTTATTATTTGTTATTGTATTTAAAAAAAATAAACTAATGAAAAATATTATTGTATTCTAATATTTTTTATAATTATTATACCTTTATCATCTATGAAAGTGTTTGTAAATTGAATCATAACGTTTTTAATTTCTTCAAAACACCATCCATAAAACACCTTAAAAATTATTCAATACGGCATATAAAAACAAATCTAGAACCTGTATAGCCAAATTTTAAATTTTTTGATGAAATTATTTTATGGTCATAGGGTCATATGGAAAATATTGTATATAACTTATGTAAAAGTGTTTTTCCTCACTCGTAATATAATATATAATTATTATACTAAGAGATTTCAGTAAGGTCTGATTTTTATTAATTTTCCTCTAAAAAAACAATATATTATTTTTATCACGTGATTGATCAATGTTATGACAAAATCCACTAGGTATCCAAAGTTGAAGCCGCATTTATTTTTCATTTTATTTTGGCTTCGCGTGTTTTAGGCAGTGACTTAATCTCCTTAATGCCGTCACGACTAAACACACGAGCCACATATAAAAATAGGACAAACATTCATTCATTAGACTGATATCCTGCCAATTTTTTTATACGAGAATGTTCCACTATATTTAACAAAATAGTAAACCAGAAGATATCAATTCGTTTAAAACATATTGTGTCATATGATTTTTTATTTGATACAATTAGTATTAAAATATCTTTAAATATACAACTCAACGACGACTACAAATTAGTTTCATATAAAGGGTATCTCAAAACCAAAATACCGACATAAAATTTTTATTTTTTTTTTTAAATGGGACACCCTAAATTTTCTTTTAATATTAAATTCAAGTCTTAAAACTAATTTTAGTTAAATAGAGATGTCCTTATTTACTCTAAAAGTAAAGGAAGTAGTAAATAGGGCCACAAAATCCCTAATGGTATGCAGAAAAATTGCGGGTAAACGATGGGGATGTAACACAAACCTACTACGATGGATGTATACTGCATAGTGAGACCAATCATCACTTACGGGGCTATAGCCTGGAGTAACAGAACTAGTTTAGCTACCACGAGAGCTAATATCTCAAAAGTACAAAGACTAGCCTGTGTTTGCATCACCGACGCAATGAGAACCTGCCCTACGGCCGCAATGGAGGTGATCTTAAACCTCACTCTACATTTGATGATAGAGAATGTGGCAGAAAGGACACGATATAAAATGATCAGGAACGGAGTAATCAGACGAAAGTCTACTTGCTTCAGGACTAAAGATACCTGGGACACCCCCCAGGATGAAATGCTAAGGAAGTACAGTTTTGTGAAAAATTTCAAAACCACAGAGCTGGGCTGCAAAAAAGAATGAAGCCAAGAATCCATCGCGCTTGCAATCGAAAGACAAGCTACTCAGTGGTATACGGAGTTGCAAAACCATAAAAGGAACTGGAATAGGAGTGTATGGGCCGAGAACCAAGCACTCCGAAAGCTTGGGAAAATACCCAAGCATCTTCAAGGCGGAAATTCACGCCATCGAGAAGTGTATCCAGTTTAACATCGAGAGAAACTATCATAGACAAGAGATTATTATCATGTCCGATAGCCTAGCAGCCATCAAAGTGCTTAGCTCTTACGTAATCAGCTCAAAAATGGTCTGGAGATGCCTAGAACAATTGAATGAGCTAGGCGAGAAAAATAGAGTTACTCTCACTTGGTTCCCGGGACATAACGGGGTACAGAGTAACGAAATTGCAGATAGTCTTGCAAGGAAAGGGGCTCAAACACCCTTTGGACCTGAGCCGTGCTGCGGTATCAGCAGTAATATAATATTTGAAGAGATTAAAAAAGAATTCGGCAGTAGAAGAATCGATAATTGGAAAAATATCTTGGGGCTGAGACAGGCTAAAGGTGGGTCCACGGTGCTCCTGTTCGTGCTCACGCTCGTGCTCGTGATCGCGCTTATGCCGTTTTCGGAACGCTGCCTTTTGTGTTTCTTCTGTTTGTCAAGATTGTTCTATCCGCGAGCAAAAGTGTCCACATTGCAGTTCTGTGTTTGCGCTCTTGCGGTTCCGACATGGATGATCAATTATTATTAACCGCACTGCGAGTGCGTTAATTAATGACAAAAAGACGGTGTTGGATGTCAAATATTTTTAATCTTTTCCATGATTTGCAAACATATGGGATGTTTGTTAATAATTTTTGTCGCATGAGTAGTACCGATTTTAAAACACTAATTAATTTAGTTCGCCCACATATCCAAAGAAAGAATACCACCATTTTTTTTATTATTTAGCTTATAAAATGTATATTGTGGATCCCACAAAACAGGATAAGTTTCGTAAAACCCAATTAGCTTCAAAATGTTTTCTTCAGTCCACTCCATATTGCACTGCGCCTTGCTCGTACGCTCGTACTTAACTGAACTTGAAAGCGAACAATAAAAACAAAAAAATCACCAAACCACCATCAACTGTGCTCGCGCGCGCAATATTCATCCCTTTGAAGTACCGCTACCTGACCGAACAGTCAAAACAGGTGTTTTGAAAGCACGAAGAACGCTGCAAACAGCTCAAACACGACGAATATGATTTTTGTTTTATTCGTGCTGTTTGCTCCGTTTGTTGCGCTTGTTGTGTTCGTTCGCACTGTTCGCGAGCAATGTGGACCCACCTTAAGATACTTCTGGGTGAATATAACCAGAAAAGATCGGAAGCCTGTATCTGCAAGAACAGCAAGAACAGGCTACGTATTGTAACAGGGATTCTTACCGGGCATTGCCGACTAAAACGACACCTTAGTAAACTGAGAGTAGTAGAGGATAGTGATTGCAGATTCTGTGAGGAGGAGGACTAAACCTCTATTCACATTCTAATTGAATGTGTAGCACTCCAAAATCCAAGGGCACTATACCTAGGAGGATATCAAATAGAAGAGGAAGATTTACCTAACTTAAAGTCACTCCAAATCCTACACTTCCCTGAGAAGATAGGATTGGAAGGGTCGTTATAGGCGTTGAGACATTTCCTTGGTGCATTAGCGACAGAAGGGGGAACAATAGATCTTTTAGGTCGCAGTGTATTAACACCCCATTCCCAACATAACATATAACATAACATACTCTAAAAGTTCTATAATTAAGGTTCCTTATACCCATATCAACTATTTTTAAACCTATTTTCAATAGTTTCAATGAATCAATAAATTTCAAATAACATGTAGAGAATCTTTATTAAACTAAGATTATTTTTAAGAGTTGAACTTAAAATTAAAAGAAAAGACAGGGGTCCCATTTAAAAAATATAACTTTATATTGGTATTCTGGTTTGGGACATCCTGTACAGATGAAACTAATTTTAAATTCCATCCGCCACTAAGTCATAGATTTGTGCCAAAGGAATGTTTAATATATTTTGTAGTTTATCCACCAGGCTCCGTCCCGTTGAACGTGGCGCACCCTGTATTAAGCCTATACTTTTTTACAATATATAGAATTCGTTAAAATAAACATATTTATCGAATAATTTTTTTAGAAAAACTCAAAAGTAACAAAGCTACAGAATTAAAAAAATCAATTGTATTCCTTCCAATTTCAACGTGTTTAAATAAACCACCTGAAGATTTCCCACAGTTCAGTTCTTACAACGGTAAGAATGTGATCAACATTGTTCGACGAAAGTTCTACATATTTAAGTTATACAGGACCGTATTGGATACTTTTGGAAAAAATTCATGTATGTTTCTTATTTTTGAGTTTTTTGATAAAATTGTTCATTTTATTGACTTCTCTACATAATTAAAAAAGTATTAACTTTAGATTTACCCTGTGTAAAGATCTAAACAATTCTTTGTTGCTTGATTGAGTATTGAAATTATGAGATACACATAGGTGTTGAGCACCATCAGTGGCGTACCCACGAGGGGGATAATGGGGATATATACCCCCAGGAAGTCCCAACTCAAACACATCATCAAAGTGATAAGTAATAACAAGAAAAAATAAAAGTAAGATACCTCTAAATTGTTTTATAATAATTGCTAAATCAAATACATCATTGTTAGAAGCAACTTAATAAATAAAAATTTAAATTGTCTCAAAATTGTTGTGAGTAGTTTTCGCGGCACTTTAAACATGAGTTTTCTGCTTGTATCATCGTCGATGATATAATTCATCGATCAGTCATGTAATATTGTATCAGCTACTGGACTAGGCGACTAGATTTTGTTATATAAAATAGAATATTCAAATTTACGATGATCCATATCTAGGAACGCCACTGAGCACCATGTACTGAAATTGAGTTTATACGGTATTTACAATAAAGAGAGATAAAATGTGGATAAATTATTGTCTTAAGTACAGAGGATAGGTCCATTTTACGAGTCAAATTAGTTTAGAAATAAATTAGATATTAAATGGCTTTTAAAAAAGGAATTTTAACTGTCTTAATATTATAATTTGTTCAGAAAATAGAATCTTACCTTGTAACAAATATATTGTGGCTTGATATTCGGCTAATTTTTCGTCAATGTAATCCTGCGATTGGTTAGCTATAATTTCAGCAGTAGTTGGTCCCGTATCTTCTTCTTCGTCCGGATCATAATTTTGTGGTAAAGGCGGAGGTTCTAAAGGAACTCCCACATATTCGAATTCGCGACTAGGGGGTCCGAAGGGTGAATCTGTATACTGCGAACCCCTCAAATTATCAGGAGTGTATTGTGATCCCCTAAAATTGTCAGGAGTATATTGGGATCCCCGGAAGTTATCTGGCGTTTGTGGAGCGCCCCTAAAGTGATCGGGGGAATAGGTTTGTATACCCCTGAAGTGATCTGGAGAGTAGGGTTGGATTCCTTTGAAATAAGGAGAGTCTATGGGTGAAGCACATCTTGCTGGAGCAGGAGAAGGCTGAAAAAAAAAATAATAATTTAGTATTGTATTTATAAAAATAAACCAAACGTCACAGTTTAATTAAATTTTTACAATAATTTATATATGAATTAATATAAAGTAAAATAGTTAATAGTTAGATAATAAAATAGAAATTAACTGAAATATCTCATGTGAAGTGTAGTTATAAACATAGTTAAACATTTTTCAAAAACTCTGACATTTATTAGGTACAGCAAAGCCAGAGGTACAGTAGAAATACATATTTTTCTTATGACGACTAATAAAGTGATTCGTTTCGCACTGTTTAGAGCTGTGGAACGTGTTATATACCTATACAGGGTGGCCAGAAGAAAACGTACCAGAGTCAGTATCAAAAACTGCCTTAATATTTTAAACAAAAGCTGGAACTAATCAATTTTTGATTGAAGGTATCTTTCTTATAATATTCTCAACTACTATACGTAATTTTTTGAAATTTCTTCTAAAAATTTTTAAAGTAAATACTGTCCAAGCGTTACAAAAAGATCAAGGTTTCTCCACCCTAAGTTTTGATATTACTGGTATTTACTGAAATTTTCTCAAAAATCAGACTACCAATTAAGAAATTAGAAATTTTCAAGGTGTTTGGTTTGCTCTTAATTCGTAGCAAAATTTTATTTTGGTTAAATGCGATTAAAGTTGGTATTTTTTAGTCTGCAAAATTTTTCAATTATTTTTAATTTTGAAAAACTTCAATAATATTTTGTTAGGTTGTGTATTAAATTATGAATAAAATTACCTTTTTAATGATGTGTCATGGTACTTTTCGTTTTTAAATTGTATAAGTTAGAATGAAGGAGGGGAGAGGAATGACATATGACAGTTAAGAATATGATAGAACGATGTCCCCCTTTAACCAAAAATTGAACGGTACCATCATTTTTTTTTATTATTGATGCAGTTTCTATTAATGGCTCTGGTACGTTTCTGTCTTTGTGCAATATGTTTAATTTGATTTATGTAATTTATATACAGGGTGGCCCATCGGTAACTCTTCGGCCTGTAGAGCTAAAACAGCTTAATTTTTTTTTAAATCTGTTTTAACAGTGAAGTATATCAGAAAAGGCAACAAATTAAAAATAATTTCAAATATACAGGGTTCTACAAGAAAGTGATATATATCAAAGTTAGGTTTTTTTAAATGGAACACACGCTATATTTTATTTTATATTTGAATTGCTCTCGCTTTTTCCATTATAACAATACCAAATAGTATGAGATTATACAGGGTATACCGTACGCTATAACCAGTTATTTATGAAAATCGTATTGATTTCAATGACCTGCTTAGTGCAAAAGAAACAATTGAAACCCAATTTTTTGCGGTAAAAGGTTTTAGATATTAGTCAACATTTATGTCAATACACTTTTTCAATTAGTAACAAATCTGTCAAAACTCAAATAGATCATTTTTACAGTTTTTTAAATTGACCATTCTGTATTTTAGATCACCATTTAAAAAGTATTTTAATTAAAGTTTCATTTGAGCCGAGCATTCCCTAAAATTAATAATTTTGGGAGATTGTTAAATTTAAATGAGAAAAAGTTAAGTCACAAAATACTAATTTTAATTGGTCACTGGTTAATAGGACACAGACTGTTTGTTAATTGGTATTTAGAATTTAACCAGTCATAAGTTATTATCGACTGAATAAGTTTTTGACAATACCTTATGCGGCTTTTACCTTATTCTAAGTTTATTATTTTGACAGATTTTATTTAATTAGAAAAATTTATCTAAGTAGCCTTCAATAATATTTATGGAGGTTCTTACATTTGTTTTTTAAGTAATATTCGAAATACTTCTCTTAATAACGACTAAAGGGCATATTAAAAAAGTGGCCAGACTTTTTTAAAAATGAACATCGCAACACTTAAGACGTTAGTAATAACGAACTATGAGTATTGAGGTTTTAAACAGTGGGGATTCACAATCCCAGAATATAGATGTCAGTACAGCTTTTGTGAATAATTTTTTTTTGTCATTTAAATTTAAAAATCTCCAAAAATTATTAACTTTAGGTATAAGGAATGCTTAACTCAAATAAAACAATGCAACTTCATTTAAGGTGTTTTTAAATGGTGATTTAAATAAAGGGTGGTCAATCTAAAATAAATAAGAAAATAGTATATTTTAGTTTTGACTCACCCTGTAGAGATTTGTTTCTAAATAAAAAATATAGCATCGGCATAAATTTTAACTAATATCGAAAACCTTTTACAGCAAACAATTGGTTTTCAATTGTTTCTTTTGCACTATACAGGTCATTGAAATCAATACGATCAATAAAACTGGTTGTAGCGTGTGAAAGACCCTGTATAATTTCATACATTGTTATAGTTGTTAAGGCGAGTGCAATAATTTAAATATAAAATAAAATACAGGGTGTCCCATTTAAAAAACCTAACTTTGTACCCTGTATTATTGAAATTATTGATATATGATAAAATTCTTGCTGTGAAAACATATTTTAAAAAAATCAAATAGTTTTGGCTCCGCCGACCGAGGAATTACCTTTTATAATAAAATAAATGTTTTAATAATATATTTAAAAGAACTATGGTAATAGAAAAGTTTTTTATCAGGAATCGAAACCCAATTCAGAAATCCAAAACCTGACATGGAACCAGTTACATCTACATTGAACCTCCATGATGATTTTATATTTGTTTGATAAAACTGTTAAATTAGAAAACATTTTGTTTGTACCAAATATGGAATTTGTTATCTGTTAAAAAATTGGCACAGAAGGGGTACGAGGTAACCTTTACTACTAATGGATGTCAAATTAAAAAAAAATAAAGAAATAGCAGTAGCACATTTGAAATCAACACTTTATGTACTAAAGCAGGAAGAAGTTTACTTTGTTAGTAACTGCCGGGAAAACTGTATTCGTAACTGGTTTTAGCTTAACAAAGTGTAATGTTAAGAAGACCTGCGCGATATGTCTTCAAGGAAAATTCAGTAAACTACCATTTCCAAAATTAAGCCATCAACTAAAGCCCCTCTTGATATGATTCATTCTGATCTATGTGGACCAATGCAAACTCTGACACCTAGTAGAAATCGTTATTTTTTAACATTTATTGATATATTTATTGAAAGAAAATTTAGAAGTTTTTAATAAGTTTAAGGAATTTGTACAGCTCACTTCTACTATGTTTGGAACTAAAGTAAAGATACTAAGATCAGATCAAGGATGAGAATATACGTCGAATGATTTTCTCTGATATTTTAAAGAAGAATGTATCCAATTTCAGCATTCAGCTTCATACTCTCCTCAACAGAATGGTGTTGCTAAACGTAAAAATCGATATATAATGGAGATGGCCCGGTGTATGATTACTGACTCAGGTTTAAATAACTCATTTTGGGGTGAGGCGGTTATGACTTCTAATTATATGCAAAACCGACTACCGACTAAATCTGCATCAAAAACCCCTTTTGAATTATGGTTTAAAAGAAAACCTGACATATATTTATATTATAATTTTTGAGCCAGTTGTCAGTTTTTAAATGAAATAAAAAAATATTGTCTGTAAAAGTTTTAATAATTTTTAATTCTCCTGCACATCTCATATAAGGATAAAGAAGACCTTAAATTATAATAAAAAGTGCATTGTGGTCGTAGGAAAAACGTACCACATTTGTACGAAAATTATTCTTCACACTCGTTTTATTGTCGCACTCGGCTCATTCCTCGTCCGGTAATACTTCTCAGTAGTGTGAAAAGTGTCACTTCTTCTGTTTTGTAAAAACAACTTATTTATTGCTGTTTTAATGATTTATTTTTCAAAAATATTCATTTAACATTTATTTATGCTTTTGTTTACTATAAAATCCGATGAACTACTTCCAGTTTCAAAATATCAGTATTTCCTCGAAAATAATATAATACGCCAAGACAGCTGTGAAAATAACTCTGGTTTACTAATTATTGCTCTCAGCTAGAACATAAAATATGTTTAATTTACTGAAACATTGTAAATAAGTACCGCAGCAAGCAAATTATTGAAATTGTTATCTAAAATCGTGTTAATAAGTCAAATGTGTCATAACATTGTACTTAGTCCAAGATTTTTATCATAACGTAGAAAATTTAATAGTAATGAACATTTTCAGAATTTCAAAAATATTTTTCCTTCGTTAGAATGGCCTACAAGATCATCGGATCTTACTCCATTTGATTTATTTCCGTGGGGTTGCTTTAAATCTAAAGGTTACGAAACCACATGAATATCCTTAGAAAATCATTGAATAAGAAATACATGTGCTTTAATTAATACAAAAGAAACACCGCATTTCGATAACATTAAGTATCGGTTTATCGGTCAAGTCAAACTCAATTTCTCGACAGTTCTGACCTTTCAATATAGACTATTTATATTCAAAGGTTCTGACCACATACTTTGATTTTATTCTGACTGATTCCGATCGATCAGCTGATTAGTCATGACTGGTGATGTTGGTCGGTTTTTTCTTTTGCTAGACAGTTTCGACCGGTTCGACCGCTCACTTAACGCACCCTAACGAAACGAATATCTTCTTTCTTAGAGATTTGAGGCTGTCTACAGTCGAAAAAGAAATAAAGAGGATTACTGTAAAATATGAGGGTCGATTCCACCACGTCACTGAAGAGTAATCGCAATCCAGGTTCCACAGCGATAATACATTAACAAAATTCAGTCAACTCAATTGGTCGAAAGGAGCGTCTCAAATAAATTACTTCATAAGATTTTTAATTGTAGGCTAACTAAATAACATCTATTATTTAAAAAAGGGAATAATTATTAGTTGAGATAAGAGATTTATACAAAGCAGATAATTTAAAACATGCAACCCGTACATTATTATTAATTGGTTTCCATGCGTTCATTCACTCGTGTCATATATTAATATTCGTGAACTAAAATTACTTCGGAGATGAAAGACTTGACAACGTCAATTTCCATTGATATCAGGAAATGAACGTTAGATGTGTTTTTCTTATAGTTATTTATATTTTTGTCTTAATTTCTGTTGGTAAATATCTAAGGAAACATCCTAGGTTGTAGTTTTAATAATTTGTTGTTTTAAGAGAGCCAACACCGAAGAAAATGTAATGAGAAAATTAACGTCGTTTTATTTTTTACCGAAAGCTCCAAAGTACCCATCTCCGATTTGGGTATAAGATTCTTGCAATTGTACAAAGTTGTGGAAGTAGAGGTACCTAAGAAAATTTCGGTAATTATTATTATTTATAAATCACAACTAATATCTTTTTTATTAAATAGCACAATGCAGAAGCTGATAAAAACCACGATTTTATTAGTAAAAGACGTGCTGAAAGATGTAAGGATAATTTGAAAGAAAGTCTAGATTCTTTAACCCTTTTTTGCAAAAATGCACTTGGCATGAATACTGGTAAGTTACGATTTGTAAAATATTAAAAACAAAAAATGTATTCACAATTTTTGTATAGAAGGTTGGGCATAATTGGTAATGGAACACCAGATTTCTGGTATTATAACAAGTAACAAAAAAAAACGCTCAGATAGATATTATTTATATTTTTTGGACTGACCATCGATGGAAAGTTTTTACTGGAAAAGTAATTTACCTAAAAAATAAAAAATGTAATTTATTGTAATTCTTGATCAGGAATATCAAACATTAGAAGAGCTAGTGTCTCTATAAAATGCCCAATTTGCATCTCGATTAAGATACGGAATGTTTATGGGGTGGTAAATCAATCATGGTTAAGTTGAAAATGAGTGGGATGATCTCATCGCCTTCCACTGTGGCCCAGATGGATCTATTGTGATACCATGGTATAATAATGATATGACTTTCTTACTACACAAGAGGATGTTCTGTTGTTATGTTGGGAATCGGGTGTGAATACACTGTGACCTAAAATGTCTCAATGCCTATAACGACCCTTCCAATCCTATTTTCTCAAGGAAGTGTAGGATTTGGAGTGGCTTCAAGTTAGGCAAATCATCCTCTTCTATTTAATATTCTCCTAGATATAGTGCCCTTAGATTCTGGAGTGCTACACATTCAGTTAAAATGTGAATGGAGGTTTCGTCCTCCTTCTCATAGAATCTGCACTCTACTACTCTCAGTTTACTATGGTATCCTTTTAATCGGCAATACCCGCTAAGGATCCCTGTTACAATACGTAGCCTGTTCTTGCTCAGGAGGTGCAGGCTTCCGGTCTTTTATGGTTATGTTCACCTACAAGTATCTTAGCCTTTCTCAGCCCCAGAAAATTGTTCCAATTTTCGGTTCTTATACTGCCCAATTCTTTTTTAATTTCTCCTAATATTATGTTACTGCTGATACCGCAGAACGACTCAGGCCCTACAAAGGATGTTCTCCTTGCAAGACTATCTGCAATTTTGTTACCCTGTATCCTGTTATGTCCCGGGACCCAAGTGAGAGTAACTCTATTTTTCTCGCCTAGCTCATTTATTTGTTTTAGGCATCTCCAGACCATTTTTGAGCTGATTACGTAAGATCTCAGCGCTTTGATGGCTGCTTGACTATCGGACATGATGTTAATCTCTTGTCTATGATAGTTTATCTCGATGTTAAACTGGATACACTTCTCGATGGCGTGAATTTCCGCCTGGAAGTTGCTTGGGTATTTTCCCAAGCTTTCGGAGTGCTTGGTTCTCGGCCCATACACTCCTATTCCAGTTCCTTTTATGGTTTTAGAACCGTCCGTATACCACTGAATAGCATGTCTATTGGTTGCAAGTAAGATAGATTCTTGGCTCCATTCTTTCTTGCAGCCCAGCTCTGTGGTTTTGAATTTTTTCACAAAACTGTACTTCTTTAGCATTTCATCCTGGGGCTTGTCCCAGGTATCTTTAGTCCTGAAGCAAGTAGACTTTCGTCTGACTACTCCGTTCCTGATTCTATATCGTGTCCTTTTTGCCACATTCTTTATCATCAAATGTAGAGGGGTGGGATTTAAGATCACCTCCATTGCGGCCGTAGAGCAGGTTCTCATTGCACCAGTAATGCAAACAAAGGCTAGTCTTTGTAGTAGCTAAACTAGTTCTTTTACTCCAGGCTATAGCCCCGTAAGTGATGATTGGTCTCACTATTGCAGTATACATCCATCGCAGTATGTTTGGGTTACATCCATATCGTTTACGCATAATGTTTCTACATACCATTAGGACTTTTGTGGCCTTATTTACTACTTCCTTCTCATGTGTGTTCCAGAGAAGTTTGTTGTCCAGGGTTAGGCCTAGATATTTGACTTCATTTTTCCATTCTATATCTATCCCGTCTAATTTAACAGTTTTGAGATTGTTTTCTTTTCCTTGAAAAGGCTACTAGTGTTGTTTTTGTAGGGTTTATACTACGTCCCACTTCACGGCACTATCTGTTGGTATGTTCTAGTCCTCGTTGGACTATATCACACAGGATATTTCTAAACTTGCCTCTAGCAAATATGACTATGTCGTCGGCATAACCTTGACAGGGTATACCGAGGTCAGTCAATCTGCATTGAAGTGTTCGTCTACAGTTAGGCTCCACATTAGTGGGGATAGAACTCCTCCTTGTGGACATCCTCTGGTTGTGCAGATGGAGATGGTGTCCTGCCTTATCTGTGTCTCTGCAGTTCTCGTAGATAACAGCTGAGAATCCATCTGGATGTGATGTTATCTACTCCACGAGAGGATGATAGCAGATGTTAATAGTATTTACTCTTGTAAGGATATTTTTGTAAATATCCCCTACGATTGCCCAGCGCTCTCATTTATTAGAAGGTTGTGTTCTGCAAAGTTTTGGCTAAGACCGGCCAATATAAGAGAAGTACCTCTCAGCAGCGTTGTCAACTATTAGGCTAGCTGAAGAGCTAAGAGGGGTCCTATCAATTTAGGACTATGCACAATGGGCCTAGTGCGGCCTAAGTAACGTAAGGCAACCCACCCTCCACAATTACAGATGCAGATATATCCCAATTTGTAAATGTAAAATTTCAACTAACTCTCCGAAAGTCCTGGATTTACAAGTATTATAACAATTTTGCCAAAAGAGATAAAATATAAATAAAAATTCTAAAATTGGTAAGAACATTTCTATTAAGTGTTATTATTGTAACGATTATTTGATTTAAAAAGTTTAGTTATTTAAAGCAGTTCATTTATAATTTATTTACACTACGTACTAATTAATTATTCTTAAGCAATAATTTATTTAACATAATTTATTTAAAAATGTACTTAAGTTCTCACAGCTACGACTCGACTTCAACTGACTGACTTCCTGTGCAACACAGCCTATTTATATATAAATCGGTGTATGCTTTAGATAATTCTCCTTCCCACCATTTATTAGACAGGCATCTCCGGTAATTTCTCGAATTTACTTCTATAAAGGCTGGATTCTAGTACATTCCCGAACGAATGATTTATACCGGCTATCTGTGAGCATAGTCGTCCCTATAGATGGGTAAAGGGGGTTTATCCCCTTAATCAAATAGTTCTGGTCTTTAAGGACAAGTGGGGTCGTCAAAAAAAAAGACCCAAACAAGGCAGAGGAACCCAAAGGATCAGAGCATGACCAGATTAGTCAGAAATGGCACAGATATTTATTCTGTAATTGTATAATTAGTTTTCGTGCTTACATGTATTTTTTTTTAATGTTTTTATACATTTTTGTTATGTCTTAGGTGAAGAATAATATTCTTTTTATTATGGGGTCATCACTTCGCGATTATTTTTGTAATGACAGCACCATTATTTGATAGTACCAATTAAGAAACACATTTTGTGGTATGTTATTTAGAGAAAAATGACGATGTCAATAAATATATCTAGGTATGTTCAAAAATGTCCATTTAAAAAACAGAATCGACTTGTCTGAGAATTTGAAGTTATCACTATTCGAGATATGACGTCACTATCGGTTATTTTCAATGGTAACATTCTTTTTTTATTGTAAAACATTTTTTGTGTAGGAACGCCAAATTTCGTGATATGTTACTATTCCAAATAATAGCTATTTATGATACCAGTTACGAAATGCCTTATTTTATGTAACGAATATTTGAGTGATGAGCAGAGCGAGGTACCGCAACATGAACGAGTTACACAAAACGGCATTTTTTCTAATACCTATTGGTTAAATTAAAAAAAATGTTGTACTTACAATCAGAGAATTTATAAAAATAAAATTTATATAAACTTTTAAATTTTATATAACTGGTTGCATAAAGTAGATCGTTTTGAAACCTACTGCAATTACAAAAGATGTCTTTTTATTATGTCAAAATTAGGAGAAACGTTTTTTTTTAGTCATTATTACGAAAAAAAATTTAATATATTTATGTAACAATCCTCCAAATTTGGCTTGCATATGCGAAATAATTGGTACTATATGTATAAAAAAACTGGTGATGACGTTTCATCTCAAATAATGATGACGTCAAAAAATATACGTACATAAAAAATGCGCATCTAAAAAAATCACATTTTCGATTTTTTTAGTTTTTCCAATAAAATCGGAAATCTGGTGTTATGGTAATTATGGCCAACTCTGTATAACTTTTTAATTTATGAATAATATTATAGCTATTGTAACTATATCCAGTAGTTCAATAACAGAAGATATTAAAGAAACAAATTCAAAAAAGTTGCCGAAATTAAGGAAGAGTCGAAAACGCAAGAAAAATATTCCAGGAATAACAAAAGCAACAAAAGTAACAAAACCCAGTACAAAAGAAATTATTTTGAGTCCACAACACACAGAGGTGTTCAAGATAAGAGTAAAACGGAACACAACAAACGAACAAAACGAAACTGATATAAATTATAGGTATACAAATAATAATCAGTTTATTGGAGCACCTGTAGATAAGGATAGAATGGAACACCCATGGGATTCGTTAGATGTTTGGTCACATGTTAGGTTTTCATTTTTCGGAGATCTATTTAAAGATAGTAAGTTTATATTTATTAAATTGAATCAAAAACTACTGCAAAACTAATATTTTTTCATTAACACAGAATGCACCTAATTTTAGCATTTTTGTAATAACCTAATTTACTAACAACTTTAAATTTATATTTCACCTCTTTCCAATACTATTTGGGTGTCCAAATTTGACATTCCAATTTAAATTGACCGCCATTTTTGGTATTCTTCATTGACAGTATTGGAACAATTTTCCATCGAAAACCCCGTTTTTATTGTGAAAACTTATTACCAAAATGGGGAATGTTTTGCTGAAACTGCAAGAAGATTCCGTACGCATTTCGGAAGAAATTTAGCACCCTACTGTATCCAGTAAATGTGACTGTGTTGTATGGTTTTTGATCTGGTGACGTTATTGGTCCTAATTTTTTCCAGAATGAAGCTGGTGATGTGATAACTGTGAACGGAGCGCAATATAGGACAATGATTAAAAATTATTTGTGGAACGAACTAGAAGATATGGATGTCCATAACATGTGTTTCCAGCAAGACAGTGCCACTTGCCATACATCGAATAAAACACTAAATCTTTTAAGGGATAGATTTGGCAATCGAAGAGCTGAGGTTAATTGTCCGCCTAGAATTATTTCTTGAGGAGCTTTTTGAAGGAAAAAGTTTATGCTAATAACCCTCAAACACCTGAATAGCTTAAAGTTAACATTATTAAAAAAAATTAAGAAATTGAACAGAATATTTACGAAATTTTTATTGAAAATTTTGTGAAAAGAATGTTAGCATGCTAAAGAAGCAGAGGGGGTCACGTGCCGGATATCATTTTTCATTATTAACCGCAAAATAATACAATAACATTATAATAATTTTTAAGGGTTTTTTGTGTTTTATTATTAAATGAAATCCTAAGGTCAAATTTGGACACTTCACTTCTTTAAGATAAAAAGGTTTCACTTGGGGTTTGATTATTTTATGTCTATGCACTTGGTCTTGTGATTGTCTAAATATTAGAATACTTTAAGATTGGTGTGTTTGTGGAGCCTCGCCTCATGTCTCTTGGCAATTTTCTTAATTTCTTTTAGAAAGGATTCATTGAAGTTCTTGGTGCAGGTGTATATTCTGGACGAGCATTTTCTATGTTCCTAAATATTCGGTTTTGTACTATTTCTACAAAATTGTACTTGCTTATTTTCTGGTACACCCGCATAATTATAGCCCATGTGTCGAACTTGTTTGTAAAGCAGTGTAAAGGAGAAAATACACATTTATATATTTTTATGATATACGGCAATGTTATACCGTGGTAACCAACCTCTGTTTATGGTTGTTAAAGTCATAACGGACTAGCCCGGTAAAAATTTCAACAACATTTATGACTGAACTGTCAATTGTATCTGAACTGTCATTATTTTAAGTCACATTCGGAAACTTGTAATGATAGTGTCAAATGATAAAATTTTATTTGATTTTAAGTTGTAAACCGTAGTAAATTGCAATATATCATAAAACTTTGTACGATACAGGCCCGTTACCTGATCTCTACGTGCTCGCACGGTCAAATAACGTGCTCGCTAGCGCTCGCACATTAACGACCGTGCTTGCAGGAAAAGATCTAGATATCGGGCTTATAACGTAAACCACTATTATTCTTTAGCTGTTTGGTTTTAATTTTTACATTCTTTTCCATTTTATTATGCTGTTTTATTATTTGGTTATTGTTATTTAAATGTATTGGATCACTATAATCTATTGATCTATTAGCAAAGTTAATGTAATCAGATTTTTCTTCGTTGATTTGTGTAAGCCACTGTTTAGACCAAAGTTATATGCTATTGATTTCATTTTAAAGATTATCTGTTGTTTTTTCTATAGTTGAGGGTAAAGACATCTTATCATCAGTAAATGTGGGTAATTCTATATGTTCTATCAATGAATATCATAGGTTTATAATAAATATAATACTGGCCCAAAACACTTCTCTGAGGGATGCCAGTATACGAGTATACCGACTTAAGTTCAGTGTATTCATTTTCCATTTTAAATTTGAATATTTGCTAGAACAAAATGATCCTAGTAATTGGAATTGGACATATTGCATAGGAATTTTTATTTATTTTAAATAGTGTGCCTTGATTCAACATGTTATCAAAGGCTTTTGTGATATCTAGAAATACTACGCAGCAAATTTTTTCCTTCAGATATTTCTCCATTTAATTTATTATGCGATTATTTCATTATTGGGTTTTCCTGGTTTGAGTATCATTATTAGATCAGCTGTTTTCCATTTTTTTTTTTAAATAAATGCCCTAAATAAAGCATTTACGATTATTACAATCTGATAACTAAGATCAATTAGCAATTTTATTCTAACCTAACTTATCTAGGGATGATAAACTTCATAAACAAAGATTCTATTCACTAGTGTGCCTTAGAGTCTAAATTATTTAGTTAAATTACCATTAACGTATAACACTAAACCGCACTATACCCTGCTTTTATCTAACATCACTAAACTAACTCAAAAGGCTTTGTTCTCTTGAGTCTTATTAGTAGATTGGCATTTTTAAGGAGTTGGATAATCCCAACGTTCCCAGTCATTGTTGGTGACTACTGACAAATTTTTCTATTGCATTTTCAACATTCTCCACGTTAAGGTCCTTATGAAGATCAGTATTGCGGCACTAGCAAGGTGCATCGACGATGTTTCCTAATACTTTATTTTTACAAACATTGAATAACTTGGACGTTACTTTTACTGACACAGTCCCAAAGCTGGATACCATACATACGGGTTTCAATATCTGCCTGTAAAGAAGCAGTTTATTATGTGTGGATAATTTGGATTTTTTCCTAGGAACCAATACATTCTTTTGAATTTTATACCAAGCTCTGCGCGTTTCTTTTTAATATGGACTTTCCGGGGAAGTCTAGCATCAAGTGTCATGCCCAGAAATTGTGCTGTATTAGCAAAAGCAATCTCAGTGTAGATTATTCTAATAGTAATATATTCATTTCTGAAATTGATATAGACAGATTTTACTTCAAAATTACACTGACCATTTTACTTATCACAACAATTTGAGGTAGTTTCAGCCCTATGAAGCTGTATAAATTTTAAAAAAAAAATCTGATCATAAAATGATTTTCGGCATATTTTAAACACTACCTACATGACAAGTTTGTGGTATACTACGTTGGATTTTTTATTCTTTCGACAAAATACGGTGCTGTGCATTTCTGCCATCCTGCCAGCTATATTAGTGACAGAACATCATATTTTTAGAGAAAAAAGAAAACCTTTCAAAACAAGAGAACGACATTTTAACCAATGGAATGGTGAACAGAGAAAACGACCGAGGTCTTTTCGAAACGGTTGAGAGTACCTTAAAAAATCTTCAAGAAAACCCAGAAGCTTTCCTCATGGTAGTTTTTGGAGGTGAATTACAAGAAGTGTCCGATAAATACAGTCCGTTGGTGCAAACATTAAAACATGTTATCGAAAACACAGATCCTGAAAATACACTTATAGTGTTAACTGGTAATTGCCCTGAATTTAAAAATCCGAATAATGGAGTTGTCGAAATCAACGAAAATGTTAAAGAGTGTCGGAATTTGAATAAAATCCCCGTTTACGCCAAAGGTAATCATGTCTACAACGCATCATCTCTTGGTGAAGTATGCCTTTATTTTGTTACTACAAATCATATAACTAACTGTAAAATAATAATTTCCCAGTTTAATGAAAATCAAGTAGATGTTACAAAACAACAAAACATCCACACACTTAAAACTAACAAGAAAAACCAGTTTTATTAATTAAATTCCATTTTTAGGCCCAAAATCCGACAAATTAGGCGAATGTGTTCTGTTATACGATATTCCTTTGATTATAAAGAACAGTTTGGAGGAATCCTCTCCAATATTTGATGGTAATCATTGACTATTCGTGGAAGTCTGAAATACTGGATATTGTCTTTTGATATCATTTTATTATGTACTTTATTTTTTATTTTTTAATATGTTTTTGTTGAGTTTTGACATGTCTATAAAATGTATACAGTATTGGCTATCGAACTTCTTCCAGTACAGCTTGCACAAGTGCATGTGAAAACTATTTACAGAGAGTTAGCAATAGACGAATAATATCAGCGATGCCAGTTTATACGATCCAGCCAACGTTACAACGCGTCGGATCGTATAAACGCTGATGTTATATGTTTCCTGCTTGCTCTAATATAGTTTTTACTTGCACTTGTGGTAAGGCGTATTGGAAAACGTTCAATGGCCGATACATTAATGAAAGTTTTTCTCAATGTCTGGAATATACAATAATAAAAATTAGACAATAATATCTAATAGTTGAAAGAGAGGTTTTCTTAAGAGTATCACTTGAAAATGGCCTTTGTCAAGTTAATATTGATTTAGAGCTTTAAATGTTTATCAGTACAAAAAATATTAATAGGGAAATCCAGCATTAGAGGCTGGGATACCTAAAAGAAATCAGTATGCATTTCTTAAAATAAAATTGCCTTGTGGGATCTTCATGAGATCAATTATACCGATTTAAGAAAACTAGAGCGTGCCAAGGAGTTATTAGAGTTTTCGGATTTGTAGGTTAACACAAGGTTAATTTGTACAAACAAAGATTTTTTAATAATAATAATAATAATAATAATTGATAAATATAATTTTGTTTTATTTCTTCTATATACCTATGAATTATATCGATTTAAAAAATAAACTGGAGGAAAGCGAGCCAAGGAGTTATTGTAGATTTTGCACACGGATTTGTGTGATCCAATACCAGAAACTTTTTAGTATGGTGCAAGATATACATTTATATCGAAGATACTTTTTACAGAAAGATTTTTGACAGTATCACTAGGCTTAATTCTGTTTCCATTGATCGCATATTGAAAGTGTCAACACTATCCTTATTATTCCCAAAGATTATTACCTGTGTTTTGTAAGATTAATATTTAATCCATGCTTACATGAAAAATCAAAGACTTTGCTAAGGCTGCATTTATATTTAAACAAGCCTGATGGATTTAATTTATTTTGAAGGTTTTATATATTTGTGTCATCAGCTAATTGATGTATTTTACAATTATATATTTGTTTAGCCATTTCCGATGTATACAATACAAACAGTTATGGTCCCAGAATTGAACCCTGTGATACTCCGTTTATAATAAGTCAAGAGCTTGACATATGATCATCGATTGGAAAGATATGAATTGATCGTACCAACAGTATGAACAGCAAAACCATAGCAGTGCAGTTTCGACTGAAATAGCTCGCTTTTCAAAGTGTCAAAAGCCTTACTAAAATCCAGCAATATCAACGTTGCCATATCTCCTTTATCCATAGCAACCATTATATCATTCAATAATTTAGTTAAGGCAGTAACGGTGCTGTATCCTTTACGAAATCCAGACTGAATCTCTGGAATCGAGCTACTTACTGTAAGATTTGCCTACCATCTGAGTATAGAAGTATGGAAGTCTTTCCAAGATTTTAAATAATATTGGTAATTTACTAATCGTTCTTAAATCACAAAATAAATTAGGATTATTGATCTTGGGAAGAGGAGTAAAGCATTTTGAAGATTACTTGAAGCCCTTGCGTACACGTCGTAACAAATAATAAATATATCATTGGCATGATAAGATGCATAATGCAAGGTGCAGGAAATGATAAACGAATGTGGGCGGAAGCAATGAATATTGCTGTGTATTCCAAAAATCGTTCCCCACATAAGGCTTTGAAAGACAAGACTCCCTGACAAAATTTGGACATGTGCAAAAGTTAATCTATAGCATCTTAAGGTCATTGGCTGTTTTATCGTTTCAAGGTTTAGTTTGAAAAATAAAGGTTGATAAAAAAAGGTTGTACCTTTATTTCTTCTTCCAATTAAGATTACATATTGTACACATAACTTAAAAAAATACTGTTTTTTTAATCTTTTTCGGTGCATCGCCCTCTATATAATATATCGATCGTAAATTTTCTTAGTGTGGCGTTTAGACAATTATGACGATTTGCGAAACAGAGCGTAAAGTGGAAAATTAAGTGAAAAATCAATTAACGCCCACCAATTCGTTTCAGAAAAAAATGCGTATGGAAATTAAAATGTGGCTCGAGGTTGTAAAGTAGCATCCGATATACTATGTTTCAATAGTAAAAAGTAATATGGGCGAAAGTCATCGTCATCATAGTCAGCGCCATATTGTAAACTTGATGGTGGAACCTTAAATCAGTGGCGTAACGATTTTAAATTTGTAAATTAACACAAAGTTTGTAAATCAAAGATAGTTAAAGGGGTGGATTGGCTCAGTGTGTAGAGTCATGACTTTGAGAACGGTCTCAGGTTCGAATCCCCTCGATGACAGGTTTTTTATTTAATTTAATGAATTAAATATTAATTCTATTGTATAGGTAGGATTCCCCACTCGACCATACTTTGTTGGGATTTAATTAACAGTGCTGTTCCTTAAGTGGCGCTGGGAAACAGTAACAACGCCTACAAAGAACACGATGCTAATGACCACAGTAGTTAATGCCCAAGACACAAAACGAAGATAGATTTTTACATATTTGATAAATTTAATATAGTTGTGTTTTAATCCTTCGATTAGAGTGGTGAAATTCTACTATATACTATTATCAATTATACGGGAGTGACTCGTAATAGTCCGTATTAAACGATTTTAAAAAGTGTTCTTGCTTGAAATCTGAAAATTTAAGTACGGGGATTTGTCAAGATATTTTATTTAATTAAAAAAAAACAATTTCAAATAATTATGTTCTTACCAAATTTATTATTATACATAAACAAATATGGAATTTCCTAATGAGGAAAGAAAAATTGGAGTCAATTAAAACATGTATTGTAACCGACCTCACCCATGTACCTTCATAATTTATAAATTCCAGTTTATTTAAATAAAAGTTGCATTCTTATTAAATTCAAATTCCTACATTTTATTAAAAATATTTTAGATAATTAAATCCTATCTATGATATTTAATAAATTAAAGCAATATTTCTGTTCGCGGGGTCTCTAATATTACAGAATAGATAAAGGTATCCCATGAGAGAATTCGATCCAAAAACCTGCCTAAAAATTATTTATTTTGACGTAGTAATAATCATTAAAACAGTTAACGCGCTTATCTTAAGTCAGTTAAGAATTTAATACCTATTTCGACAAAATTCCGAGACTAAGTTCTGAGAATTTCTCAAGGCACGTAATAAATCTACCATCCATTTTTATCCACCCAAATTTGTTCCCACCGGTGCTGCGAACAATTGACGTCACAAAAAGTCAATAAAACGGGTATAAATACCTGTTCACGAGGAACGAGATATTCATTCATTTATTATTTGGTATTCAGTATAATTCATTCATTATTATCTTAAATCCAGTCTAAGTCAGTTGTTTTCGAATTCAGTTATATTTCAGTACCTTTCCTAAATCGAGGCTCTTCCTAACTGACATATATCCTACATTACCTCTTATCCCCCGAACGCTGTCACGTCCCGATTATCTACGTTCCACTGCCCTACTTCCCTACCTTTCTACGTCCCGAAGGCTGTCACGTCTTCCCGCATGACCTAAGTATTTCCAACCTACCTCCCTAACGCTGTCACGTTCCGATGGTCAACGTCCCATCGCCCTACTTCCCGACTCTTGCCGTCTCTATTTATTTCCTTCATAATATCCTTGACGACACCCGTCGTCGCGCAGCACCACCTGAGTATTTCCTACCCTATGTCCGTTCCGACCCAGTACCGTAATAAATACATTTCCGCCACGACACTAGGCGTCTCGACGCAAGGCGACGCTCAAAACTACGACGTACCCAAAATCGACGCCGTCACACCGCTAGATAAAATGAGTACATGTCTAGTTCAAATGAACCTAATGTCTGTATTTTCAATAGTGTGTCGAAAGTGTAATGTAACCTTCTTGAGATATCACCGGAGTCCCGTTGAATAAGGGCTGCACATTTAATTCAAAATATAATCAATGTAACCCAATAAACCAAATGGCCTTCGGACATTCTTCGCTTCGAAAGACAGTTAACTTAGACATCTATTTTGCGATGGGTGATTTTGAGTAATTTCATTAGAAATTATAAATATCAATATTTTATTATTATGGGATAAATTATGCAAACCTAAACCTAGATGGTAAAATTTATTAGTAAGTTACCTAACTGGTGAATTGACCCTGTTCGTTAGCTCAAGGGGAGCACCTATACTAGCCACTCATTCTACTAGGTTGAAACCATAAAATATATGTGAATATCAACACAGTAAGTTAACCAACTGGCGAATGGCGCTGTTCGATAACTCCGTTGGTTATCACCTCTACACGCGTTGAAATAAATAAATACCTAATAAAATATAATCCTGTGTATATCTAGGATAGAATCAAGCTAAGTAAAAATATAACCATCAACACAGTAAGTTAACCAACTGGCGAATTGGCGCTGCTCGTTAACTCTGTTGGTCATCAAGCTAAATAAAATATATCTTGATAGTAAATGAACGTGATCCGCGTTAGAGTGGGACTCAGGTGAGATCTCAGTAAATAGTAATTATTGCATTACATTCAAATTATGAAAAATAAAAGAGTTTAAATATGAATTTGTATGGTTTTATTTACTAATTTGCACCAAACTTTGCATCGAATCCTGGTTTATATAAATTAACATTATCACAAGGTGGGTATATAAATTATCAATTAGGTAACTAGACGATTGCTACTACTACTGGAGGAAAAAGGCCAAATACAGTAAGTATAGAATTGAAAGTAAAACAAAATTGTAAAGTAAATAATAAAATTTTAGATTTAAACAAAAATCAATGGGAATACTGGGGGTGGGCGGTTACAGTATTGGTGGGGTAAATTCGGCCTAAAAATTTAGGTTTTACAATATATTATACTTTAGCTTTAATTTTACCATATATTATCTT